TTAAACTCGGAGGTTCCGCCTCTGAAATAACCTAACAGTGTTGAAAAGGGTGTTAAACCTATACCAGTGAGTGGTTGGCGGGTGCTCTAGTGTGGTTTGCTTCTTCTTTCCTATCAAACATTTATTGTCCTTATCTCCCCTCCTTCTTTTTTTTATGTTTGTTACTCCCTTGTAACACCTCTAATTTTCTGGCGCTCATATTATGACCTTATGCAGTTGCGAGCGCCGTAAAATCTCTACTAAAACTAACTATCTCCCCATCTTTTTTATGTTTGTTACTCTCTTGTAACACTTCTAATCTTCTGGCGCTCATATGACCTTTATGCAGTTGCGAGCGCTGTAAAACCTCTACCAAAACTAAAAACCTCTACCATTTCACCATTTCACCAACTTGACTCACGTGTTGTGTTTGTCTGTCTCGTTCACAGACTGCCGGACGGACTACTCCAGCTCCGGAACCTGACACAGCTGGGCCTCAATGATGTGGCTCTACTCCGGCTGCCCTACGACATTGCCAGGTGAGTTGTGTGTGGAGGTGGGTGGTCTAGTGGTTAGCCTGTTGGGTTCGAACCTGACCCAACTGGGTCACAATGTGGCTCTGCTTTGAGTGTCTTTCAACATTGCTAGGTGAGTTGTGTATATATAGATGGTCTGGTGGTTAGCCTGTTGGGTGGTTGGCGGGTGCTCTGGTGGGGTTTGCTCCTTCTTTCCAAACTTCTATCGTCCTTATTCTCTCCTCCTTCTTTTTTGTGTTTGTTACTCTCTTTTAACACCTCTAATCTTCGGCACTTATATGGCCTTATTGTGCTGCAAGTGCCATAAAACTCTTACTAAAACTAAACCGGGTCTCAACAATGTGGCTCCTCTTTGAACGCCGTACATCATTACCAGGTAGGGCCAAAGCAGCCCGCCTCCTAAATGGTCTAAACAACATCGATGTGGGTGTAAAACATCTGCAAAATACATCATGTGTGAAAGGCTGGGTCAGGGTTCAGTTGTGAAATTTGTTTGTCAAAGTTGGAAACAAATGGAGTTAAACGGCATCTGTGGTGTAGCTGTTGGGTACTTCGCTGTGCCGCATGCAGGAGACTCGAGTTCGATTTCTGAGTTGGGAGAACATTTGTATCAAGCGTCCTGGATATTTTGCTGGGATTTAACTGTTGTATCCCCCCTCAGCCTGGGTTGGCCCTGATAGGCATTTCCTGATGCCAGCCTCTTAATAAAAACAAATAAAATTGTGTCGATGGGGGAGCAAAAACTCGTATATCCCGTCACCTTAGAGCTATTTGGTCCAAAGTGTACTTTAGTAAAACCGTAAGAAAGGAAGACCAAAAATGACATGGAGGCGAGCGGTACCAGCGGAAATGGAAAAGGCGGGGACATCATGGAAACAGCAAGAAAAGGATGCTCAGGACAGGCTTCACTGGAGAAGTGTTGTTTGTGACCTATGCTCCACTGGGAGGGAGGGAGGGAGGGAGG